TTTTTGTTTTTGAACTGACCTTCCTTTTTAAACTTTTTTTTTTTTTTTTTTTGCCAACGCACAGATGCACAGGGTCCCCCATGCATTTTTCATGCAGCAGGTAATCACAACTTTAAATAAAAGTATTTTTCTATACATTCTTCCAGACTTGCAACTGTATACATACATGCAAAAGTTTTTAAACCTATGTGATCATATTTACACTTATACATGGAATATACATAACAAAAAAGATTAAAAGGGTTTATTTTCCTTTGCATTAGAACAATACAAAATATGTATTTTTCATTAAGGAAACCACTATTTACATCACCTTTTAAAAACCAATTTCAACATATTATAGGTGTAACAAGTCAATATATTTACATTATATATAAATATATATAATATATACTTACCAGTTTACTCCTCTGTAAGATGTAGCAAAAAACAAACTGGTAATATCATGTCACTGACGTCAATGAGAGCTGTAATACTTTCACCAACATTTAACAGGGAAAATCTAAACCATTCATTTCTTTCTTTTAAAAAAATTTGTAAATTAAAAATTTAAAAACATTACTAAGAGTAAATGGCTAAGAAAAGTGAAAGCTATGGCTGAATTCCCTTTTGATCTTGTAACATTTATAAACTTGTCAAACTGAGCCACCCAGTTATGTGGTATCAGCAGAGCGGCCCTTCAGCAAAACACCTTTTGATCCTGTGGACACGCATTACCACACATTTCCTCAAACTTTGGCAGAGGAGAAACTAGAAATCTGGTTCTCTCAGTCAATCCCCAAATCTAGCTAGCCTGAGCACTATATCACCACAGTGGGTGAAGTGGCATGAGCCTGTAGATGCCCTTCAAGGAAGGCACTGAGCACTTGGCAACCCAACTGCTGCTGCTGTGACTACTCTGAGCGAAGCAAAGTTGAAGTTAATTCAGGTACAAGTCCCAAGGGGCTGCAATTTACAACTTTAACTTTATAGTACAGACACATCCCTAACTTGCTTCTCCACCGCTCCATGGGGCGGATGCTGCTTTCTCCCAGCAGTATCAACCAGCTGCAACCTGGATGTGATCTCCTCTCCTCCCTCCCTCCTCCTCTGATGGTGAGATTGCACACCACCATCCATCAATCCTGCCCCTCTTTGACAAGATTCCATTTTCTAAGTCTAGAATCTGAAGGCCTAGTTGAAACTTCATCCTCCTGCGTTTGCAAAGCTATCTCTGAAGCTTGCATTCCCACAGACTGAGGAAAGGTATTAGGGATAGCCAAAATGCAGTGAATGTCTACTGAACCAAGAAGAAGGGAGTTGCTGAGAATACCAAGCATTACTCAGATGACCTTGGTTTATCATTCATCTACAGACACTGGTGGAAATCAAGCATCTTTGAGTTGCTTGTGAAAACATAGCCAGCCCTACACATCCCTCTCCTGGTGTAGCAAACCCAGCTCCTGCACCCCCCCTTTTCTGATGGAAATGTCCTCAAGTAAAATGATGGCGACTCCTTTTTACTCACCTATACGACAAGATAAAAAATTATTGAAGAGCCTTTGGTCCTCAGGTTTAAAGGCTGTAAATGTGGATGTGGCAGATTTTTTCAAGACCTCTCTTCCCTAGGGAGGGGTAACATCAATGATAACGGAGAACTTCACACAGGAGACTGTTGCTCATTTAGCAGCTGACTGAAAAGCATTAAGTTGGCATGCCCTACCCTCTCTCAAGGGCCTCATTGTTATGTTGGATGCCCCTTGAGATTGCAACGTCTACAAGAGGTAAGATTCTTCCATGAACAGCATGTCCTAAACTTGAATTCTTGAGTATCTTAGTTAGCTGACGTCTGTGAGAATGGTAATATCCTTTTATTAACAACACTTAAAAAGAAAGCTAAATAATTAACTGGTCAAGCTGTTAACATTTTAACTTGAAAGTTTTATAAAACTTTAAAAACTAAATGTTTAAAAGTATATATTATAACAATAGATTACCATAGAATAAATACACTGGTAAGCACACTCCTAGGCTCCAATATTACTTTTTGTTAGTGTTAGATGCCCCTTCCTACCTTTCATCTCCGCTTAGTTTTGATGAAGCTTTTCCAACCAGGTTATTTCACGTCTTTTCAAGCTGCAACTTTTTGTGGAGCCTTCCAAGTAAATCATAGTTCTGTATTTACTCCAGGGACCATCTATTACTCTATATTGTATGTATTTCCTAGCTATATACATGGTGTTTCCAGAAAAATAATTAAGACTTTAAGAAACCTTTAATGGATGGAACAAATACCATCTTTTTAATATTTCTGCTGGGTTGACTCATATAAAAAGAATTCAGTTCCACTGTCAATCCAAAATATACTTTATCTGGTTAATGATTATTCTATGAGACATCTGAATTGTCACTGGGCCACTTATAAATGCAATATTAAAGACAAACAAAATTTTATTTTTATATTATACTTCAGACAATGACATTTAAAATGATATTAGATTTGTGCGAAGGTTTTAAAATATAAATCTTTTTTTGTACAGCCCATTAATATATTACGCTTCACCCAAATAACATAAAAATATATCTTTAAATTGCTCTTTTATTTCTCATATAAACCAAGGGGAATGTTTTATGTCAGATACTGCCAAATATTTGTGTTCCCTAAAAGAAGGTATCCTCCAGGGGGTAAAACGGAATAGTGGTGCACTTCCCATCTGGCAGGCAAGAGAAGTCACTTTCAGCATGAACTGCACTGGGAAGAAAGGAAACTGATCCCAGGCTGGGGGTGGAGGACAAGAAGGGGACAACAGCTTGCTCTGTCTCAGCAAGCCATCAGTCTGGGAAAAGGATCTCCAAAACCAAACGAGAAAAAAAGTGCCCCATCACTCATCTCTGTTATGTAAACACAAGGTGGACAGTGGAGAAAATGGTCAGAGTGTAGCTTTCATTAGCTGTGCAAGCCAGCTACTTAGCTGTTTGCTCCTAGAATAGAGGATTATCAGAAATTAGAAGCCATATTGTTTTCAGGGGAGTATAAAGAATTCAGCAAAACTTAAGAGTTTTCAACAATGCATATAATTTAGAGAAGCTGGATTTTGTCCTCCTCCTCCCCCCATGAGAAATAAAGGCTGCAAACGGAGTTAACACTGACAGTGTTAACAAGGAAGTAGAGCCACATGGCTCTTCCCTAGCCCACAGTTCTTTTCAGGTGTCTCAGCTTTGACCACAATTTTCAGTTCCTCCCATCTCAGGCTGATATTGCCAGATGTTACAAATCACAGCACAGTGGGGATTGAGGAAAAGGGCAGAGGAAGATTTCTCAGACATGTCTCACTATCCATTACAGAACATGACAAATCCACAATTTTATCCTGAGTGCAACCTGAAAAATTATTCTAAAACCAGATTTTCTGCAGTGAAAGGGTAGTGCATTAAACCATGCATCAGCTGTTCAGAGTAATAAATATTGACAGAATATGGATTCTTTTCCATGGTTGTAGGAAGAGGTCAACACATTTTTCATTAAAATCCTATTCCGTCTGAGTAGAAGTCTGATGTGCTGCTTTACTGCAGCTGGTATTCTTCTTCAGGGGAAGCAGGATGGTGCTCACCAGACAATTTCACTCTTCTGCTTCACAAACTTTTCACCATTTTCCTCACCAGTATGTATTAAACTTTCTTACATGCACTACTCCAAGAGGCGTTTTGGCTTTCCACTTTTAAGCAGTGAAGTGACAGGAATGCGCCAACAAAGACTCATGCAGTACTTGCATGGCCTATGAAAATCTGCCTTTGTATAAAAACCTAAAAAAACCCCTTAATCTAACCTGTAACTCATAACTATGTCTAAGGATTCTGAGGAAGGCATTTGACAAGAGCAGGGCAAGGAAGAAAAATAGATTTTTACACCACTATTCTGGCAGGACCACAAACAAGATTTAAAAATAACAATACAAATTTTGGAAGCACTAAAAAATACATTTCAGTGCATTTCAATTATTAACACTGACACAGGTTTTCCAATATAATGAGCTAATACTCTGGACGGACTGCTCCACTTCTTAAAAATTATTCTTAAAATTTCACAAAACATATTAAACATTCAAAAAAAAAAAAAAGTACACTGTCTTTATGCTCAGGCTTCCAAAAAAATAAGGATTATTTTACAGGGAGGGAGAAAACGCAGCATTACCACCACCTAGGCTGTATGCTTACACTTTGTTATACCAAAACCTTGCAGATCCAAATAAGACTCTGATCAAAGAGTACTCATAACTTAATCTGATGTATACAGAAATGTCTTGTACAAATTATGACCTTTCTAGTTTCCTTGTGATGATCTATTGTAAAGCAAATTTTATCTACATGTATTTTAAATAACATCACCAGAAAAATAAAAAGTTTATCAAATGAAAACATGTTTCAATTAGACCATGCTTCTCTAAAATCATGCTCAATTTATACAGTAGTCAAGTTCGTACTCCTTTTTATTTCTTTTCTTTTTTTTTTTTTTTAAACAAGGATTCAAAACCAGTGATTGTAAACTCATTGAAGAGGCTGTAGTTTATTCTGGCTCTTTTTTGATTGTTAGTACTTTTTCCAGCAGTCCGTGCACTTCTCCATTCATACCATGTTGATGAGAGGTCTTACTCCCCATATGGCTGTTGTAAGGGCTTCTTAGGTTACTAAAAGGAGTTTCAAGCTCTGCATCAGATGTCAACTCCTCTTTGATTGTAACATGAGTTGAACTACCAGTAAATGAAGGTTCATTCCAGGTGTCTTTGTCATGTGGCTCTTGGCTACTAACAGAGGTGCCACCTTTCTGTAACATGTAGTACAAGATTGGATTGGTTTTGGTCAGTCTTGGAGAGTCTTTTTCATAATCACTCTTGTCCACACCTGTGATCACCCATCTGATGGGCCCTTTTTCACTGGGCATGGGACACACACTCAACTGGTCAGACTCAAGTCTAGATACTGTACTCCCAAAATGTTCAGGGAAGGGGGAACTGGCAGGACTTTTTACTACTACAGGATACTGAAATGTTCTATGATCTACACAATTGTTCTGTTGCACAGGGCTTCCCATTAGTGCATTTACTGAAGAAATGCTAAATTCAGGTTTATTAATTGTGGCACTGGTTTTGTTTCCTTTTTTCTTGCCCTCTGTTAGTATGTTATTCCTATGTTGTGACAAATCTCTCTCACAGTTTTCTGAGAGAAGCAGCTGTTTCAACACATTAAAGCCTTTAGTATCTCTAGACCAACTTCTATATTCACTTTCGTTATTTGAACCATGACTCACAGGATATTTAAATTCAGCATCATTTCTGCCAAATTTCAGTTCTTGCTGATTAAGCAAAGGCCCATACAATGCCTCTGTAGGAGAGGTGTGATGGTTTGCAGCATCAGACATACTACTTTTCATCTTTTTTAATGGACTTTCCAAAGGCTCAGCATGAAGCTTCCTCTTCTTCGGTACTGTGCAAAGACTCTTTGATTCAAGGTGTGTCACCTCATTGTTTCGGTGACTCCTGTCCAGCTCATCTGCAGGGTAACCATCTTGATTCTGTCTCAGCAACCTACTTAACAGACCGTTTTTGGAAAAAGAGAAATCTTGAGGTGAAAGAGGCTCAGATTTCACCTCCTCAGATGCTGGAGAAGCAGCTGTGTTTCTCTGCAGTGAATGAACAAATCCTTGATATTTGTTACCCTTGCACTCTCTTACTTGTTGTGCACTTGAATTATAAGGAACATTTGATTCATCAGATGGTTCAGTTTTTATTTTCACCGTCAATATTTGCTCATTTAAAGCCTTATCTGTCTGTTCTTGAGAACTTTCATCTCTTAAAAGCATCCTCTCTTTCTTTTCACTTTTACCTTTATTGGGAGTTCCCAGAAGCAGCTGAAGGACAGTGCGCCTTTCAAGGAGATTTTCTATTTCTGAACCTGGAAGTCCTTGTTCAGCTGGTGCAGGCTGACAACTGAATATTTTGTTATTTTCTTCTTGCGTACTCAATTTATTCGTAAGCAGAGGGCTGTTCAATCTATCAATCAAGCCTACAGGTTTATCTGTGTTCCCTCCTACCAGCTGTTTGCTAGCTCTTTGTTCTTCATTTGACATGGAAGTCTGCATGCCGCACTGAGCGAGGTTCTGCAACAGCTTGCTTGCACTAAAAGCTGAAGAGTTTTGGGGACTATCGTTTCTGCTCAGCTTGGCTCCTTGAATTTCTTTGCTTTTAGAAAGGTCTATCAAATGTTTAGATGCAGGATTCATCAGCCTGTCTGGCTGGATGCTACAAACATACGGTGGTGAGCTACGCTTGATGGCTGATGACTGGTGTGAGAGATTTATAGGAGAGTCTGCTTTTGTAGAAGCCAGCAAAGGTGGAGTGCTTAGCGGAGTCATTCGATTTGCACTGGGACTGTCAGTAACAGGAGTCCTTTTACCAGTCTGTACAGTAAATTTTGCCACATCAGCTGCACTGTGTGGTCCCTGAGGGTCATTACTCTTGTCTACCTTATCTTCACTCTTATGTCCAAGTAACAGTTGAAGTAATGTTACTTTCTGATGAGGATTCAACTTAGAAGCTTTTGGAGTGTCTTTGTCTTCCTTGTTCTCTGGACAAGAAACTTTTGGATCCCAGTTATGAAGCAAGGACTGAGTCAGGTTACCCAGGGATGCAAGTGGACCTGCATCTGGTTTATCTGTCCTTTGTTTAAAGGATAGGTCTATAGGAAGGCAGTTAGAATGGGAACTTTCATCATCACTGCTGTCATCTGTGAAACTGGGATTGTTGTCTGAATACTCATCAATAGTTGTCGGTGTGCTACTGTCTTCAAAAATGCTGGCTCTCTCGCTCTGTTCATGGCCCTTTACATGTTTGGTGGTATTCTGGCTTTTCAGTAGATGCAAGAGCAAACTGTTGCTGGGAGAGGTTTTCAGGTTACTCCTTTCCAAAGTACTTTTGTATCCCACATTTTTGGGAGGCGAATGCATGATTCCCACTGAATTCTGAAATGGTGCCATATTGCTTTTACTAGATGCTGTTTTGGTTGATGATCCTGTCTGACCATTGAGATGGCTTGTCATTCCTTTTGCTAAACTGAATTGGCCAGTATCTTTCTGAGTGCTTTCTTGTAACCTGGCCATTGCTGCAAGTCTCTCACTTGCTATTTGATTTGCATTTTGTGCTTTTAAAGCATGTTCCCTGGAGTACTGCTGCAAGTGAGCTTCACTGGAAAGGAGTAAAGCTAGCTGGCTGCATGCTACGCTGGGCTTTGGTGAAGCAGCAGGACTGGATCGTTTCTCTACCATGCTTGCAACAGCTTGTAATCTTGCAGCACATGACAGTGGCTCATTTATCACTTTAGGACCACTCTGCACCACATGAGGAGATTCTATAAACCTCTCTTTGGGCACGTTCTTTGTTATATCAGGTAGGCTGTTGTCCAGCTTCTGATCTTTAGCTTTGCTCTTCTTCAGTAGAGTCTTCAGGTGACTGGATGCAACACCATAGCACCTTAAATCTTTCTCCACTTGTAAAGAATCATGGCTAAGGGAATACCCTTGCTCCTTAAGGCTCTGCCTAATCTGCTGTGACAGAGCAACACTCTGCAGCCGAGAGCTGAATGACTGAAGCAAAGAGGCAAGTAATGTGCTATCCTGTTTGCCTTTAGGCACATTTTCAACCACACCGGCTAACAAAGCTTCCTTTTTTCCACCTAAATCCACTATGGAATCAGACAACCTCCTCCTCTTTGCTGCATTCCAGTCTTCAGAAGACTGCAACAGCCTTGCTTTTTTGAGATGCAGCATGCCAGATCCCTGATATGTATTTGTGTTAAGAGCTGGACCATTACTTTGACAGCTAGGAAATATATTTCCAGAAATCTTAAAGTTTTGATCTTCTCCACTATGCCCAGTAGACTTTTTGTCAACTGCAGTACCTGAGCCTCCTGCTGCTTGATGCATTAGTAATCCCTCTAGGTAAGTTAGAACAACAGAATCCTGGTGCATCTCAGAGCCAAGCTCTTCTCCATGAGTCATGTTCAATAAAAGTTTCCAAAAGGGCTCTGGTTCTATTCACTTCAAAGACTAGTTTTGTTGTAGTTGAATTGAGATGTGGAGTTAAGAAATAACAGGTAGATGTCTATGGAATTTTCTCATAAACTTTCAGAAACAATATAAAAATGTCATATTCCAAGCAGTCTTCTTCTGGGATAAACTGTTTGATAAGCCAGGTTTCCGATCAACCTGCTAATATCTAGAGTATTTATGAAAGATGTCTAGGAGAAGCATTCAAAACATGGTTCCACAGTAATAGAGTTCCATTAAGTATTTGCCACCTTCCTTCTCCAGGAAACCAGCTTGGTTTTCATCTTTTTCCATCTCCAAACACACAGAATGCCTACATGAAAAAAACAAAACAAAACAAGTGGTCAAGAACAAAAAGATTTAGAATAAGATCTAATTGCCTAAGACTTTTTTTTTTTTAAAAAAAACACATTGTCTGAGACAAAGATTCAGGATATCTAAGCAATAACCACATTCCAAAAGACATTAGAAGTCAAAGTACATGGTAACTAATACAAAGAACTTTGCAAAAACCCTTCTGAGAGAGAAAATGTCACACAAATTAATCTTAACTATAAGCACAACTGCTACAACTATTCCTTGAATTTCTCTATCCTACAGCTAAAATAAGGAATAGCAAGCATGAAAAGAACATCTTAAACAGTCTAAATACTGTTTTAAGAAAATTACTTTTGATTTTATTTCACAGTTGCATCAACATTTCTTATTATATAAATATGCAGGACATGCAGACTATCACTCTTTTAGACTTAATGGAAGAAGTCACACCTCAAATCAGTATTTAGGTTCACGTTGAATCTGTTTTCAAATAACAAGTAGCATCATAGACAATGTCTTTATTGTTTGGCAGGTAGATATTGCTAAAAGTAGAAGCCAAGTTGCCAGTGCTGCCCAAAACTATCTAGTAATGCAAAATCTAGTATGATAGCACAACCAGGATGAAAACTGTTGTTCTCACAACTCCCAACTACCGCAACTCAGTGGAACAGTCATGTAATACGAGTGATGGAAAAAGGTGCTCATGTTCCTGATAGAATCTAAATCCTCCATTCACTGGATGCTTTTTACCTGTACATTCTTTTAATGTGTTAATTATATAATAGTAGAAGAAACAGGTCTTCCAAGAAGTCTTGTTATTTTTAAGGAGAGCAGAGTACATCTACTCAATACTTCACTGGATGAGGCAGCATGCTATAAAAAGCTGTTTTAAAAAGCACAACAATGGCACTTATACTAGATACATCTCTTCTGTTTGAGTCACGGTCAACGACAGCATGAACAATTCATGCAGTCAACACAGTTCAATACTGAGATCATTACACCACACATGCCTGGTCTTTCACTCATTTAGTTCTTAACTGGCACAAATATTCAACCTGAGCAAAGCTAAGTGTCTTTCCACATATCTAACTCTGCAATTTGCTTTCACACGCTGAAAGTCCACTGAAAACTTGTACTTACAAGTTTAAAAGGGATGTACACAGATGAAATCCCTGCCTCCTTAAAGTAAATAAATATACTATGATTGATTTCCCAGAGGCAGTTTTTTTTATTCAAAAGCTACAGGCAACTAGAAGTCAGAAAAATATCAGATCTGAAAAAAAAAGTAAAGAAAGAGATGAAAAATGAAGTAGCTGTAATGTTAATAGACTGTATATCCCCCTCTGCAAGTACTCCCTTATTAGATTTTAAGTCATTTAGAAAAACTCTAAAAACTGATCTCACACAAAAAAAAAGTCTGCAATGCATTCTACTGTAAATTTGTATACCCATGTATCTTAATATCAAATGAAAAGTTGGTAGTTATTGCTGGGAGTCTCAGTACTTCTCCCAGAAATGCACTTCTGTGTTAACCAGCATGTACATAATTACCCACAGAAGACAGCATTCATTCAAATACGTAACTACAACTTGAATGTGGATTCATCCAATTCAAAGTTACCTGTCATTTAATTGTTCCTTCAAAAACCTGTGTGGGTGTCAAGAAGGAGGGACCAGTCCCTTTTCAGTCATGTACTGTGATAAGAAAAGGGGAAATGGATGCAAACTGGAACACAGAAAGTTCCACCTATACGAAAGGAAAAACTTTATTGTAAGGTTTACAGAGCACTGGAACAGGCTGCTCAGAGGGTTTGTGGAGTCTCCTCTGGAGACTTTCAAGACCTGTCTGTATGCATTTCTTTGTGACCTACCCCAGATTCTCTGGTGGTCCTGCTTTGGTAGGGAGGTTGGACTTGATCTCCAGAGGTCCCTTCCAACCCCTAACATCCCATGATTCTGATCTCTGGGTGGGCTTCTGCAGTTTCAACACAAAATAGACTAAAAACGGAAAGAGTCAATCTTTGTAAAATAACAAAGTTTCCAATGAGTATATCAAGTATCCAGCAGCTGCAATATTGATAAAGTAAACTTATTTCCTCAAACATTTGGGAATGCACTTTATCTGAAAAGTGCAGTTTTCCAACTTTGAAAAGCAAACTGTTTATCTGCAGCCACATTTTCGTATTTCAAAATAGAATTAAGCTGACAGCATGCTGTTCTTACAATGGAATGAGTAGCACTTGATACACTGTATTTTGTGTCCAAGACAATAAAACTGTGAGGGTTTTTTAAAGTATTTCTTTCTATCTATTTCTTCTATTAAAGCAAGCCTTGCAGGTCAGCTTTAAAATAATGTCCCAAACAAATGGACCATTAAGCCAATATTCAGTAAACCTTTACTCATTACAGCTCTAAGTAACTAAAAAAAGACTATGCATTTATGCATATCCCTTGGATACTCGAAATGCCTGTTACAGGAGATGACACTTGTAGCCAATATTGTTTACATACAAGAACTTTAAGAAGTGTTTCGTTACCTTTTTTCTTTTCTTTTTCCTTTTTTTTTTTTTAATTACTCAGTGCTAAGGAAATACTGATCATTTTACAGAAACCGAGTTGACGGAAAGAGCCTTCCTTAAAGAGCACGACATTTGAAGACCACTTAATAACATTGTAAGGAATGGGACATCAGTGATCCTCTTAAAGAGCCCATTCTGATCTAGTGCTGCAACAGATATTGCAGCATCATAAAAACCTTACATGACCTAACATACAATACACAAATGTGATTAAATTCTGTAGAGAACTTAAATTACATTGTAAAAAAGCTTCTAAATCTACACCTTATTTGTGATGGAAAATCAGGTAGTAAATTTCAGGGTTTGAAGACAATCTCGTAACTTAAGCATTTTCAATGAGTTCTGTACTTTGTACACTTTTCTTCCACTACCTGAAGCGTGGTCATGTGGAAACTGAACCAGCTTTGGAAATCAATATTTAGCTAGACACTAAGGCAACCATTCAACAACATTTAAAAACATATGGACCATACCTGAGAATTTCCACAGACTCACTGAAATGTTAATGTTTTTTCTCACTATTAAATACTATTCTAGAAATTATCACAACAGAGAAAAGAAAAAAGACAAATATTAAAAAAATAAAGAAGGAAGAAAAAGGAGAACCCCTAAAGGAATACATTTTGTATTTCCAAGTAGGAGCTGAAGTAACCTTATTGCAATGAGCCTCTAACATTAACCTCTAATATCCATTCATCTCTATATGTAAACATTTCATTAAACTATTGTGATAAAATTGAGACATTTAAGGTGATGTGCTTTCCTGACAACGTAACTACTGTACATGCACTGGTTTTTGTTGTTTCCACTATCTTCTTCCACATCTCTGTACCGTCACAAATAAATACGTTTGTTTTGCAGGGACTATTTTCAGAACCTCCACAAACACACAGTGATCACAGCTCATTAAGCCAAGTTTACCACGACAGAACTAAAACAGCCACAGAATTTGCAGCAGAATGCTGCGACCTGGGGAGACCCTCCCCACATGGAGCATACCATGGAAAATCAGTCCTACAGCCTTTTAAAATGTACCTAAGGAGAAACTCAGGTCAAGGATAGGCAAGATGGAAGACTATTAAAATGTACACTGAACTGCATCCATCCAGAATATTAATTCTATTTTTGAAGTTGCTGGACTTCATCTTCACTTGCAAACTGCAGATACACTTTGCTGTTACAAAGATTTTAAAATAATGGTAATAATATAACTTTAAGATCCTTTGCTTTTCATAAATTATTACTGCTGCAAAAGATAATGAAATTTGAAAACACACCTTCTAATAGGTTAAACCACAATGCCAATGTGGTGAGCCAATGGCTTTTTACTCCTGAATATATATTTTTTGAAGAATTCTTTGAATTATTGAATGCCTCAGCTGTAAAACCTAATTGGTGACTAAACAAACAGCAGTCTGTGAGTTAACCTGTTATTCAGCTGCTGCCATTTAGGAAATGAAGACTTCACAATTTAAACTAGAAGAGTGACATCCATAAGACATTTTCTAATATTCCAGACTAGTATTTCTAGATGAATTCCTTTCCTAAACAGAATAGAGAACCACAGTAAATCAAGAACACTACACTAGTTTTATCCAAGTAGGAGGATTATGTAATCTAGTTGAGATAGCTCATGAACACCCAAATATTATAAAGGTGTCTTATTCTGCAGTTTTAATTCAAGATTTTATACTAGGAATGGCTAGCAGATCACCCACATGAACACTTACTAAAAGAGATATTATCCAATCTCGTGAACATTGTTAGAATGATTAACAGAGGTTCAGATGCATACACATATACACAAATAAAACATTTTTATTAACTGCATTTCATGGTTCTTTAACGTCTATGAATTCCTATAGCAATTTTATATTCCATGTTCAAGTTGAGTCAAAACAATTTTGTAGAGCTGAAATCAAAATGGTCTGTGAAATTAAAATCATTAGTTATTTAATACATTCAGCGTTCTAATGGTTAAAGAATACTGCAAGAGCCAGAAGAAGTCTCTCACTAGCTCACTGCTTTCCCATTCTCATATTCCCAGATGTT